AGATCATCTAACCGATATCTAGGATTTTATAATACTATATATGAGTAGTAATAATTTGCCGAATATCGCTGAGAAAAAAAAAGTCACAAGAATTCCTCCTCGCACGCATATCACGCCCTTCCTAAACGAATTCGGCATTCTGAAAATGGAGGCCCGTCAGAAGCTATATTTGGCCTGCCTAATGTTTGATATGGTTAAAACCCGGAAACCTGATTATCTATACCACAAGATTAATTGGTCACAACGTGTAAGGGGGGATAAGTTCCGATTGGTTTCTAAAAATGTTATTAACATCCCAAAACACAGAACGACTGCTTTTCGCGGCGGTTTCAGGTATCGCGCCAGTAAGTGTTGGAATGATATTCCTCCTCCACTGCGTGACATCAATAATAAAAAACGATTTAAGCGGGAATATAAAAAACATCTATTGTCAGAGCAGATGTGTCTCGCTACATAAATATTTCCCTAATCAATGCGTTTGATACCTGCAAACCTAAATTTCCGTACCTATACATACTCATATTTGGTGGCTAGTGTTATAATTTAATATTATGTTTGTAAGCTTACATTATTATTTATATTGCTTACCTTCATTGCTTACACTGTTTACATTGTTTGCTTTACATCTTACACTCTTGCTTGATATACATATATATATAGTATTTAGAGTTAGGTATATATATTTGCGTGTGATGCACTTTGGTGGCATGGCTTACTGGGCTGCGATCGCTCACCATATGGTACTGGCAGAAAATCAGCACTGTTTGCCTTTTCTTGGTCTACAGTATTTATGCTGAGTCAGGGCCATTTCAGCACAAACTGTAGTCATAAGTATTTTAAAATTGTATTATAAATTGTTGTTATAGTATTTGTTTGTTTTTCTCACAGTATTTGTTTTGTCTCGCAATATGTGTTTTGTATAAATGTGTATAAAATTAATAATTAATGTTCTATGTGCTTTTATGTTATACTCTGTGAAGTGATTGTAAATGTTTTGTTTCTGTTTGTATTTGTGCTGAATAAACGTGTTATCTATCTATCTATCTACGTGTTATGCCCATTTCAGTCAATTCAAAACTTTAAAACGCGCCACTGTAAACTTGGCAATTTCGACATACGATACTTTACGTAGGAGGGGTCGAAGAATAGTGTTAATATACGAACAATATTTTCAATTTAATATGATTCACATGTAGGTATAAATTCACAGAGAATATGATAAATTTTTGAGTGAGAGGACAGAGACAAAAGGCATTTAATGGAAGTAGGACGAGGAATAGAATGTCATACAGGGAATATCGTAATTTAGTACAATCAAAGAATATATGGTCCACGTTTCTTTCGTCTAAACCACACTCACACAATGAGTTATCCCTAATCCTTATTTTAGTCAGATGAACGTGTACTCTCACGCGTGACCCAAACGAAGGCGGCATATTCTTGATGTAGTTTTTTTATTGGCTGAATGGAGTTTGAAAAACCCAGGGACTGTGGGAATTTGAGGCTGAATGTCCGCATATTTGCCTTTTAGTCTGTCTTTTTGAAGAAGAGTAAAATGACGGTTCATCGCGTTAAAGTGCTGCCCTCTTGCGAGCAGCTATGATTGCAGTCGATAAATATTCTATCGACTATCGCGTGAATATTGGTCACGTTTATGGAATAAATAGCCGAACTTGTTTCATTTGAATCATCTTAATTCAATATGGATAATCAAATCCACGTATTCTTGTTAAAATGTATATGAATAAAATCGATCTCGATACTGGTAGGCCAACTGTCAAAGAAAGAATAAAGAAGGCAATAACGCAATTAGTAAACATTCATAATGCTTCATTTTTTTTTTTTGCAAAAATTTTCTTTCACAATCTATCGATGAAACAACTGTAGAATAGTTTTATTGTAGATTGATGAAATGTATTCATATATAGTAAATTAATGTAATAACTGATTCCTAGCACATAATAAATAGTATCGAATGTGACCACTAGATGGCATTGTATTGTATAGAATATTGGTGACAAATAGATGGCGCTATTCATAATTGCCTAATGTTAAATTGCAATATCAGTTTAATTCGAAGGAAAGGTTTACAACCAAATAAGTTTTATTGTAGATCGTTAAAATAATTATTCACACTTATAATTTTAAGTATTTGAATATAAAGAGTATTCATTTTTACTTAATTTTCTCATCAGCCAATCGGCGGCCGTTTCCGCCACATCCCACCTTGCTACTAAAAAGTAGGGTTGAGTGGAGGGACGGGGTCGCGGAATCGGCCGGTGTGCAGGAGTCCGAAAGGCTAGACGAGTAAATTACTTACATAAAGTGGATGTATTACATTGTTGAGGAACATGTGATCAGTTACGGAAAATAGAGTAATATTTTCTATCAACTTGGTATTATATCACGTCCATGGAGAGCGCTGCAACACTATCGACAACAACTACATAACTATTAAAAATTTTATGAAAACTGGCAACCCTACAAATATCATTTTACTCCATCTTCAACAAAGACAGATGGATTAAAATGTAAATTCGTAACTCAGGGCGCTTTTAAATCGGACGCTGATAGAAGCCATCCCTTACATAAAAATGAAGTGCTGTTTTTCTTTCTGCAAACTGTCAAATATTATTGAAATTGACGCAGTTTAATAGTTTTAAACCTATGTCACCGCTCCAATATAACGAAAAGTGGTCTTAAATATTTTCAATGTATGAAAACGAAAATGTCTTTTTAACCGACTTCAAAAAAGAAGAAGGTTCTCAATTCAACTGTTTTTTTTGTATACCTATGTGTTACGCGATAACTCCGGCCGGCATTTGTGAACCAATTATGTGGATTCTTTTTTGTTGGAAAGAGGGTACCTCAGTAGTGGTCCCATTTAAATCTGTAGAAAATATTCCACCACGAAGGGTGGCAAACTAGGGGATGAATTTGGTTTCCCGCGCTTTCCGGTAACCGATTTCAACAAAACTTGGCAAGTAGATGTAATCCACGAACTTTCGAGGTCGGTATTTTTAATACTCTGTACTGAGATTATTAGGGTTGTCACATCTTGTTTGGGATCACTAAATTGGGCTCAACGAGTTGTTAGCATACAGATTGTATCTCCGCCAATAGCGAGGGCAGCGCACGGTGCGACGGGGGGGACGGAGCGAACCGACACACTTGCTCAACCGCGGCGACAGCGAGCGCGCACGCACATAAATATTCCAAAGCCTACATAAATAAGTTCAAAGTTCTCGAATAAGTGTTCTTGTATTCTTTATCGCATACAATTGTAATTCTATTGACCTTTTTGAGTACACGGTTTCTTTAAAGGTTTTCAAATGTTCTTGTACCTTCACAGATTACCTATAATGATATTCTGGAAGTGGACCGCGTGAAGACCAACCTCGTATCGACCTACGCACCATACGTGACTAACGCTAAAATATTCGATTTGGTTTCTCCGGAGATTGAAGGGATAAAGCAGGACGAAATTGTTCAAGATACTATTTCCAAGGCTTGTATTAATTTATTTATTAATTTAAAAATAACATTATGACTAACCACTTACAAAAAATATTTAATTATTAATTTTTGTTAATAGCCTCAATGTACATACAATAATTGCGTTCTTTATAGTACCATTTAAAGAATAGGTTCCGAAGGAATGTAGTGTAGTTTATATACAGTGTGTTGATTTGCATTCTCGCCATATTTAAGAAATTAACAATAGAAATAATGCTAAATCATCTAAAAATATTAAAAAAAAATATTCTGTTCATTATTCTGGCTAATTGTATATAGTAAAGTTTTTCAAAATTGTCTCGGAGTCATATGCACCACGCAAGGGCAATGACCCCGCCACCCGCTTCATCGAGCGATACGTAATCTTTCTCGATCGCTTATTTACCTATATTTTAAATTATGATTGTGTACTAGTATTTTTATAATTTACTATTTATTTACATTAATTAGAAAAGTTGACTGAATAAAGTTTTTTTGTAACTTAAATTTGGTACTTACCTAATTTAGTTTACATGGAAGTATTGCTAGAAGTACCTATCTTCACAGAGATTCGCACGTGAGCTTTGTTCCAACATTAGACTCCACAACTTTGAAAGCAGAAACTTCGACACTCGTATCCTCCGCGTAACTAAACTTTTTACATCATGCATGTACTGCATCTGTAATGCATTTGTACTTGATGCCGCCACCGCCACCAGGTTCACATGGCAGTTCTTTTTTGCACTACTAACTCTCGTTTACATACCAAACCACGTGGCATTTCGTGACAGACTAGAATACAATGCATGTGAGATGTCAGCGTGACGTAGACGCAGTACGGGAAGCAAGCTCTACCATTGATCACCACTGATCTACCAATCGCGCGCTCGATACGACACCCCCGCTCTGTCGCTACCCGCACCCCACCACCAAATAGATCTAAAATGCGTTTCTATGCATTTAAGGTCATTGTTCAAAATGTTTGCAAGTACCGTGCAAGTCAATGACCTTTGGATCAAATTTATTTACCGCAATTAAATAAAAAATGGGAATTTACGAAATTCTTTTAATGATTTGGGTTCACTTTCGTATATAGAATGACCTCTGTAAATATGGCGAGAATGTAAATCAACACATTGTAAGATTATTCAGCATTTTTTTTAATTTCTGCATTATTATTTTTGCACATTGGCACTTTACAAACGTCGTTTTCTTACAGAATGAATCATCAATTCCTAATGAAAGTAAAATTCAAGAAAGAATAACTGAGATCAAAGATTTCAAACTCAAAATGTTTTACGATAAAAACAATAAAGATTGTCAATATAAAATTGAAATACAATCACAATTAACACCCGATCTGAACAGTGCCAATAATGTGAACTATAACCTAAAAACATATACAAGTCAAAACTTTTGTAATCAAAGTGTTACTCTGGTCGATATAAAACCAGCAAACTATGAAGAAATAGAAAGAGATTTAGAAGAAAAAGAAAGAGAACGGCAGAAAAAGGAAAGTGAAAGGACGAGAAAAGAAATGGAAAGAGCGGAAAGTGATAGAAAGAGTGTTAAATGTGAAGACGAGGAAGAAACAAGGGAAAGGGAAATACAGAAATGTTTAAATGAATTTCAAGACAATTGTGATGATAGAGATTTTGTGGATGAACAAGAAATTGATTTGGAGGATGTTTTCAAAGGTAAGTGAAGGTAAAGTACATGCTACTCCTTAAAGCTCTTTTAACTACACGAACACATAAGAATATCAAAATACCTTAATTTTCTCCTCTAATTTAGTGAAAAAAAATATTATTACTGTATATAAATATATAGATAACTAGATAGATAGAACGCGTTTTGGTACACCCCTGGCTAGTTGTAAGTAGGAAAAAAACACAGCGCCCTGGTTTTTTTTCTAAATTTAGTTTGTTTTTTCCGAAAAAGTAAAATGGAATAACTGGAATAAAACAAAATAATATAAGACACTAACTTTTGTTTTAAGAATTGTATATATTAAATTCAATTACCATGATAATTATAACAAAAATTTCATCTTAATTTGTGGTGTTACTACTGTTACAGGTGTTACCCACACTTGTAATGTCATTAAAATTTTCTGTGTCTTCGTTTCCTTCATTCAAATCCTACCAAATAATTTTATATAAGCGGCTTGCTAATAATTCTATGTAAATGTTGCTATATAAGGGATATGTTCGATGTGAAAAAAATATCGATATCACTCTTAGATAATAAATAAGTAGTGTTTTTATCAGTAATCACCAAAGTAGCGATGCAACAGCTATCCATAGATTAAAAAAAAGGTAAAATGTTAGAATCCCCGCATTTTCCCCACATAGCGTCAATCCCACAAAATGACCAATCGAGTTGAAATTCCCCGCAATTTGGGGAATTCGCCACAAATTGACAACACTATGAGTGTTGCCCATTTATTTTGATCAATTTATGTATGAAGAATAATATTAGAATAATAAATAATAATAATACAATAAAAGAGGACATGTAGTAAAAAATGCAATTGTCACATTTTTTATTTTCATACTTTTGGATAAAAAACGGTTTTTCTTCAGGTTCACTGGCCGATCAGAACAAATATGAGTAGAATTACATAATTCAGGGGCTATGATTGGCCGGGCGGCGTGCGCGGCGCATTGATAGGGCCAGTACGGTGTGGGAGACGCCGTATCGGCATATGTATAGGAGAATCTTGTAAGAATTGTTGATTCGATTTCATTCAAATTTGTGACTTATAATTACGGAACTAAGTCAGATTGACATAGATCACGATTGTTATGATAAGGTGTTCAATTAAGAATAGAAGTGTATACAGTCCACTTAAGAATAAGAAGCGCCAATAAACTAATAAGTTAACACAATGGTGTATTAACTGAAAAAGTGTATTTTCTGAGAATCTATAAAAAACGAATTACTCACTTCCCTTGAAAGATCATTAAAATTTATGTATATGTTACAGTTTATATACAGACAGCTAAACAATTTGCTACTTGCAAATACAATTAAGAATAAAAGGGGAACAATAATTTCATATTTTTTTAATAATGATTTTTTTTGCCAGATCTAGCTCACAAATGTGTCTCATTTTGAGTTAAGTAGATATATTTGGATTGTTCCTTACAATATTGTAACGACGATTTTATTGGCGTATAGAGAATCAAATTTTACGTTCATTAATGACAGAATCTCGAAATTCACATCTTTTGAGTTACAACACTATAGCAGTGCGATATTTTGTTGCATGTCTGTTAGTCCTTAAGGTATATATTATATGGGTCATGTGGCCTGAAATAAATGACTAAATAAATAAATAAAAAATTAAGCTAACGTTCTTTCGCGCACGAATGCTCGTATTCGTTTTGTGACAACAAAAAGAGCGTCCGTGTAAAGGCTAATGGCGCAAGATGACCGCGTGAAACTGGCGCGTGTTGGAGTGCGCGATGGATGATGATCGTTCCCTTTTTAACCGACTTCAAAAATAGGAGGACGTTCTCAATTCGACAGTATGTTTTTCTTTCTTTTTGGATATATGTTACGCGATAATAAGATTTATGAACCGATTTTGAAGATTCTTTTTTGTTGGAAAGAAGGTACCTCGGAATGGTCCCTTTCAAATTAGAAGGAAATATTCCACCTCTAAAGGTTGCAAACTACGGGATGAGTGACTTTTGAGGTCGTTTTTTTTAGCACTCTGTAGTGATCCTTCGAACATCTTTACACGTGTGATAGAGTGTCTATATAAAGCCAGCTAATGAGTACCCGGCTCTATATCACGGAAGAACATGTCAAATGTCTTTTTATGTCATATTCGGTTGGACGATGTCGGGACCAAAAATCATTTGATGTTTTATCGAATGAACCGTACCTTTATTCATTTGTTTCCAGGTCTTGAAGAAAAACAAGATTCGGAAATCGAAAGTCTGCCAGATCTGCCCCCCAGGGCTCCTTCGCCGAAGAGAAAAAAACCTAATCTTAAAAAACTCCAAGTGCAGACGAGAATGAAAACTATAAACTATTCTAAACATGCTACTTTGGTACGTATTTGTTCAGTCTTCAAAACACATCAAGCTTTCGAACCGAACTTAAAAAAAGGAGGAGGTTCCTTATTGTTTTTTTTTATATAAAAGTTATCATTATTTTTATCATCATTTCTCATAACAACATTTTTTCAATCAACTTGCTATGGAATATCGTCAGAAAAATCTTGTTGAAGTTATCCTGTGTGCGGCGCGATAAAAATTACCTTTTTTACAGTTATCTAAGGCTATGTGCAACAGTCGAATACGTTTACTTACTATCGAAGAACAAAAAGAGAAGTTCAACGCGAAGCTGCAAACTCCAGACTTCGTGCGAGCGCCTTTCAAGTGCGCCATTTGCCTCTGTACGTCATTTCGCTCGCTCGAGGATCTGGTTATTCATCTCGAAACTTATAAGTCCCAGGTAAGTCTTTTATCTAATTGCGGTGGTAGCCCCATGCCTGATAATTAGTAGCAGTACAGCTCCTTGTGTTTTTAATTATACTATTAGGCATAAATATACAATACACATTTATGCCAATCCTAAAAATAATATATTTTTATAAACGAATATTTATTATACATATGCTGTTAAAGTGTGAAATATTTATTTATTTGCAAACAATGTAGGTATAAAGATTAATAAGTACATACATACCCCTATGGGGTGCAGCAATTAATTATTGTTAAAGTTAATATTAAAATTGCAAATAATAATAATTAGGAACAAATACAAATGGCGTGAGTATAGCGCGCTCACACTACACTCTTGTTACGAAATATTTGAATGATATACTTGCCCCAATAATTTAAAACTGCTACATTTGCCCCCAAGTACACTAACCCCGTGTCACATTCCTGAAAATTTTGTTGTTTTGTGATGTAAAATGTTTTAGAGTTGCTTTTTCTCATGTTATTGTAACAACCTCAATTTTCAGAGTAAAAAACACATTTGTGCAATATGCAAGCGTCGGTATGAAACGGAGGCACAGTTGACCGCCCACTCTGCCAAGATGCATTGGTATGAATATGTATGCAACACATGCGGGAAGAAGTGCGATACCTAGTAAGTACCACACACGCCGGCGCAATTAGCTGAACAAAAAAGTGACAATGAATTAAAAAAAAAAATGGTACCACGATTTCGTTTAATTAAGGTAAACGATTCTTTTGTGGGGAAACGTTTACGTTTTCACAATAAGATTCCGGAGCATATATTAATATTACCATTTCCTAAATTATATTCCATAAGCGTGACCAATAGTTTTTTTTAGTTTATTTCTCTCAACGTTACAAATTTTATACAAATACATTTACATGTCATTTTATACTACACTTCGAAAAGTAAGCGTCAGTTTACAAAATAATGAGAAATAATTATATAATAGTGTGTCACAAGTACACATGTCATCGAGTATGTAACCAGAAATAGAGACGAAATAAGGGCCATGTATTCCTGGTAACACATTAGCGATACAGCTCTTATAAATATCAACTCTCATTTGCACTGAAATATAGACAGGCCAACTACTGCCCTGTGTGTACGTCTCCGTATATTCCAAAAATTATTCTGTGTTTATTGTAATAAAGATAATATGTCTAACAATGCCGTGCCGTTCTATTCGGTGGTGTGGGAAAAACAGCAAAACATCTAATTACAAAACAAATGGTATCACATTTCACCGGTAGTTAAATATTAAATATGTAATTTTGCAATTTTCGTCTATTATAGCAAAGCTCAAATTAACTGGTCGATTTGAAGTGAAACAGTTGACGACGCCCATCGACGACACCCGTCAATTGTTTCGAACTCGGGCTGGCCAATCGGAGCGCAGTTGTCACAGTAATGATATGGCAGAAAAGTTTTCAAACAAATGAAATGACATTGCGTCTCTATTTTTGGTTAAATACTCGATGAACTAAAGTAAACGATTCTTTTATGAGGAAACGTTTACGTTTTCACAATAAGATTCCGGAGCATATTAATATTACCATTTCCTAAATTATATTCCATAAGCGTGACCAATAGTTTTTTTTAGTTTATTTATCTCAACATTACAAATTTCATACAAATACAGTTACATGTCATTTTATACTACTCTTCGAAAAGTGAGCGTCAGTTTACAAAATAATGAAGAAATAATTATATAATAGTCAATCACAAGTACACAATGGTGCACATGTACAAGATCAACATAATTAATTAAACTAATAAATAATTGAATGAAACTAACAATGTCAAGTGTATACAGGAAATGTCAATATGGATTTTTAATAACTAATAAATATATATTACAGTATAATAATACGGTGAAATGTCAAATTCATTAATGAATATAATAATTTAATTTTTTATTAAGTACTTTGAGTGTACTCTGTTACTGAGTAAAGGGGTTTTTCCAATAAAAGGTTCTTCAGTCTGCACCTGAACGTTTCCTCACAACATTCGTTTTTTAAGATAGAATATTTATCGACTGCAATCACTAGCTGCTCACAAGCGGGCAACACTTTTGCGAAATAAACTGTCATTTTACTCCGTTTTCAAAAAAGACAGACTATAAATTAACATATTTTAAACATGGACACGTGCACCCCAATTTTATTGAAAGAAATCGAAATTAAACAAAATGCTTTCATACGAAGCTGAAATAGCTGAAAATTTGAAAATTTTATAGTTAAGATTGATTAAATCTAACTGTAATAAATAAAAAATCTTTTTCAACTGAAGTTTACAAAATCTACAGAAATGTAAAATCAACCAACCATCCACTAAATGATTATCACATTTCGACCCCCCCTATGTAAAGTATCGTATGTCGAAATTGCCAAGTTTACAGGTGAGCGTTTGAAAATTCTCGGTTTTATTCGGCAATGCTCATTACTCACATAGAGTGATCATCTAATAGATCATCTAACCGATATCTAGGATTTTATAACAGTCTATGTGAATAACGAGCTTTGCCAAATAAAACTGAGAGAGATGCTGCACTCACGTGTTATACTTATTTCAGTGAATTCAGGAATTCATTAAAACGCTCCCCTGTAAACTTGGCAATTTCGATATACGTTACTTTACCTACGAGGGGTCGATTTTAATAAGAAACCTGTTTTAGCAAGCAATCTGTAATTAGTGATGATTATTTAAATATAACCTTATCTTTTAGTAGATAAAGTTCTTTTGCATTGATTGTTTTAATGATTGTTTCAAAGGCTGAGCTGACGTATGCTCCTGACTGTGTTTATAAAGTACATTATTTTCAGTTACGATATAGTGTACTGCTTTGAGAGTCACCTGAAACATGGGAAAATGATACTTAATAACGCCTTTATAAGATTGCCGCTTTGCAACGAAGCTATGTATCACACTATGGACAAGTACACGGGTGAGTTTTTATACAAAAATACAGATTGAATATAACAGGAGAAATAAAACATTTTTTGTCATGGCAGTGAAATAGCGTTGACTCAGCATATGCCTAAGTTCCCTAAGGCGCTGGTTTTCAGTCAGAACCAACGTGAGGTACTAAATCTAGAAGTTATTTGTAATTAAAGACCTAATAAACGAGTAGGAGGGCAATTGTTCATTAAAATAATTTGTTTCTCGATCCGATGAAACTTGAACCCACGACCATGCTCAACGTAGTATTGTTCTTACTAACTGAGCTACGGGTGGGGGCCTCGGAAGCAATTGGGGGGCGTTGATGAGGGGGTGCTACCGCATTTGAAACAAAAAAAACTTAATTACACTATATGTATGTCGTCGCCTTGAAAGAAGAAGAGTGAAGAAGAATACTTAAGAAAAAACTTAACTTGAAGAAAAACTTATAAAGGTCTTGCTCAAATTATTAAAGAAATATAGTAAGTCTGAAAGAGGTATAATTTAACTATTTAAAATGCTAACTACAAACATTATTGCGATTATTACATTTTACGCCACATTTTTATCTTCATCCTGAAAAATTATATAGATTTTTTCTGAGTGTTCGATCTTTGTATTAATAAATATAACAAACTAGTGGAGTAATTTCACAAAAAAAATTGAATATCAATTCAATAAAAATTTAAAATACAGTGAATAGCGACATCTCTCGCCAGAACTGGTAACTGTAAAAATATCTAACTGGGTGATAAAACTCTCATAGATGGCACTACGACTAAAAAGTCGTCGAAAATTCGAAAAAATTTAATATCAATTCAATAAATATTTAATATAAAGAAATTACTTAAATTATTCTCTATATAACGATGTTATAACTTTTTTCCTTGTAGCTTTTTGTGTTAAGTTAATATGAAAAATACGTGTTTTCAAGTATATTTTACGACGTTGAGCGTTGAGTGCTTCACTCACATCGGGATTGCTGAAAACCAGCGCTACAGGCTAGGCAGGCAGTTTGCGTGTGCCGCGACACGCATTTATTACTATAATTTTTTATGTTTTTATTATGTATTAACTTTATTTTAGTTTCAAGTTTATAATATTGTATTTTAATTTTAAGATGTTTGTCTCGGTGCTTACGCAATAAACTATTCTTATTCTTAAATTTTTATTTATCTTGCCTAACTAGGCGGTTAGCCAAAAAGTTGGGGAAAAGATTTGGAGGGAAGAGAGTGAGTTAATACCATTTAGAAATGGTATTAACTCACTTCATCGTCATTATGCCTTATTACCTTATCGAACACCATTAATGACAAATGATGACAATTTTGCTAGGTCTCAAGGAAACAATTGTAAAATGTACCCAATGCAACATTGGCTTTCAGAAAATCAAAGAATTAACAGCACATCTAAGTCTGCACTTATCCGTAAGTATTCTTTACTTTCGTAATAGTTTTTATGGAACAGTTTGTAAATAATCTGGATGGAATGCTTTTGAAGACAGAGTACATTGACACTTCATTGCCCAATAGTGTTGCCCGCTTGCGAGCAGCTAGTGATTGCAGCCGATAAATATTCTATCAACTATCGACTGAATATTGGTCGCGCTTATGGAATAATTAACCGATTTTGTTTCATTTGAATCATCCTCGATCCAATATTCATCCAATTACTGAGCAGAAGTTCATGTGAATTGTCAATTTTTGAAAGTTCATACATATACACTGTATTTAGATGTTTATGAAAAATACAAAGAGGAAACATATTTTAAAGTTTCTCATTTTAATTCATTATAGATAATCAAATCCACCTATTCTTGTTAAAATGTATATGAATAAAATTGATTTCGATACTAGTAGGCCAACTGTCAAAATAAGAATAAAGAAAGCAATAGTAATCATTAGAACGTACTTTCGCCATTCAGCCATTTTTGGCAAAATATCATCTTCTTTCACAATTTATCGTTAAAACTATCGGCAACAACTATATGTATACTACTCTTGATGGACCTTATCTACAAAATAAATAAATAAATAAAATAAACTATGCCGCATTCATTTGTTATTCAATATTCAAAGATGACAGACGACATAACTGAAGCCACCTACATATAAACCTATTAAAGGGATTGCAGTGAGTAGGTTAGATTTAAGAACCAATGTAAGTAATTTTGTTTTCGAAAATAAGTGAAACAAAAAGAAGTTAGCTCGGTTAGCTTAGTTCGCGGTGTGAACCGAAGTATGAAAAGATGCCTCGGCTACGTAAGCTAAGTTAATTTGACTTCGTTAGCGGTGTGAACCGAAGTATGAAAAGATCCCCCTGCTACGTGAGTTGAGCTAAGTTAGCTTAGCTTCGTTCGCGGTGTGGCCTACGCATAAGAGAGAGAGAAAGTGTCATTTATTCTTATCTCTTTTTCAGCCACAGAATGCAACACAGCAGAAACAAATGTTCGAATGTGACATATGTCACTTGATGTTCACCAAGCGCAACAAACTGTCCACCCATATGAAGCAATGGCACCTATATTCGTACACTTGCAACTCGTGTAGTGACAGTTTTATGAACTGGTAAGATTAATATTTCGCAAATTTCCTATTAACGCCATCTATTTGAAAAAACATCCAGATACGCGAAGGAAGGGCGTCCGATTGAGTCCCCGTCAGAGTATCGGCCCATCGTGCTGCTCTTGCAGCGAGGACTCGCTCGAAGAGCTTGCCCGCCTCCCTCATATAAAGTATGGCTCATCAACGGAGGCCAGCAGGGTGCAGGATTGGGAGACCCTGCCCCTGCATTGTACAGGCCTCCGCCGCCGGTGCCCCAAATGTTCCGGGGCAACTCTGTGCAGGTCGCCCCCCATGATGAAGGGGGGGATGATGTAGGGGTAGGCCCAAAGGCGGACCGGCACCACCGGAGTCGCGGTAGCATCTGAAAAGGACCTCGCGGCCCCGGCGCCAGGTGCGCGCAGGTACATCGTGAGGTTTTTAGTGGGTATGCTCTTGGGGACCGACATAGTCCCCAGGAGAGTCCCACATATCCCCGCCGTCTCCCAGTGGCGGGGAATGCGTAACGCATTTTCCTCACGGTAATAAAAAAAAAGGTTAGGTTAAGTTGGGTTTAAAAGAAAAAACATTTTCCTCTCAAAATTACTTTCGAGGTTATGAAAATTCAAGCAAACGTTATTTCTGGAAAATGTAATTTCGGACTGCTCATAGGTTACCGTCAAACGGCTATGAGAAGGAATTCCCTGCCTGCAGACTTATTCCCTGAACGTTATAAATTAGGCCTTTTCAAGGCGAGAGTGAATAGGCATTATTTAAAAGTGCATGTTCCATCGTCACTTTCCACAGGTCAAATGCGCGCTTATATATGATGTAGACAACATTCGGCATTGACTCACACCTTAGTGGTTTTTAAATGTTGTAATAATTGTTTGTTTAGTACCTGTGTAATTGACTGATAATAAATTAAAATGTATATAATAACGAAAAAATGCCATACTTGTAATTGATTAATCCGACATTGCAACAGGGCTCGTAACTCGCTAAAGATTATGCGATAAGTGTATCGACGTCGGCACAAGCGCTCATACAACTCTTTCATTTATGAGCATTCGTCTCCGCTCAACTACACTCGGCGGGCAACATTATTATTACCTCTCTGAGCGCGTGCTTAGTTCCATTAGTCAGATTTAGTAAGTAGGCTATTAAGTAATCTGTGATTGCAGGCAGCAAGTTGTCTATCATATGAAACACAACATCTGTAAAGTAGACAAGGCCAGCAAACATATGACATGCAGATTCTGCAATAAGGTGGTCAAGTAAGTCGTTTTTTACCCGACTGCGGGAGGGTTATGTTTTTCAGGTGTATGTACGTTTATATGTCCATTTCTATGTTTCCCTGTACAGTATAAATACTCGATGCACTAGACTGAGATGTTATTGGTCCCTATTCAGTTGGGTCTAACATTGATGCAAAGCACCCCATTCTGATCTGTTATGAAAAAATAATTAATTTGCTATGTTTTACTGTTTGAAACAGCGTGTTATCTATTGATTACAATAATCTTATAACAATAACGCACAAACACATAGCCTAGCACTAGGGAAACCCTGTATCGCGGGTGCCATGGACACACACATAGACAACCACATATTACATCCAAAACTCACCCTGATTGAACTCGCGACCTCTGCGTGGCAGTTTAGTATGGTAACCGTTCGGCCACGGTGGCAGTTACGACCCCATTGTTATGCCTCAGACTTTTAAAACCATCTTGATGATTTTCTTTTGAGATGCCTACCGTACATTCACGGTCACAAGTAAACCACAAATTGTTTCAGAGTGAAAACATACGGAGGATACAAACACATGTATTTATATCACTTCACGCAACATTTCAACGTGCATTGCAACTTATGCGGCGAATCCTATGAGTCCAACTTCAACTTGTACCGACATCAGATTGCGAAGCATGGCTATGCGGTAAGTAATATTAATGTACAATGTCATGGTGTTGCCTTAATTTAAGATACTACGTTACTTAAAAGGTATTAAAGAGTCTATACTACCTCAAATGGCTTTGGTTGATTCTGCACGTCGAGTCGAAATAAGAGCCATCCATCCCTGGCAACTCGTCAAGCAAGTATGGGTCTTATATCACTTTTAAATATCAACCCTCGTTTGCGCCGAAATCGCAAATTAGAAAGCTGAAATAGCACAGCGCCAATAACTGACCTGTGTGTATGTCTCCGTATATTCCAAAAATATTCTGTATTTATTGTAATAAAGATAATATCTCTAAGAATGTGGGCTGTTCTAAGAAGGTAGTGTGGGAAAAACAGCAAAACTTCTAATTACAAAACAAACGGAATCACATTTCATCGGTAATTAAATATTAAATATGTATGCAGTACTAATTAATATGTTTTAGTTTATTCTAATTTCTATTAGATAATAATAAATTAAACTTAATTAAAATTCATTCAATAACATAATTTGTAACATTTAATGTAGCGTAAATTGGAATGTTTTCTTTGTAAAATTAAAAATAAGGTATTTAATTAATAACTATTGTAACTATAGTGAAAAATAGGGTGGTTTGCATCAATATTACACATAACTGGTTGAAGACTGTACCACCTCAGTCAACCGTGATCATGGGACCTGTAAAGGGTCCGAAACGTCGGTTTGTTTGAAAAAACAAATATACGCGATTTAAATCCGGAAAAATAGTTTCATTTCCTATTAAATATGTAATTTTTCAATTTTCGTCCATTATAGCAAAGCTTAAGTTAAACTGGTCAATTTGAAGTGAAACAATTGACGATACTCGTCAATTGTTTCGAATTCGGGCTGGCCAATCGGAGCGCAGTTGTCATTGTAATGATTTGGCAGAATAGTTTTCAAACAAATTAAATGACATATCGTCTCTATTTCTGGTATACTCGATGATCCTGCATATCAGTGTAAAAAAGATCAAGTTTAATTAGTTGGTCTAATGTAATATGCCAGACCAGAGAATAGCAATTATCCTCTAATTTTTTGGCTTGAATTCAAGTAGTTTACTTTGATCTGCCAAGCATCATGCAAATGAAGTTGTGGAGAAGTTTTAAAATACATTGTAATTGCCAGTAAGTAAACTTTTTTTAAATAATCTATAGTCTTATTCATGTTAGCGACCTTGTACTGAGAAAACACAGGCGCACGTGATTGGTTAGAGATAAGTTCCTAAAGCCGCATTCATAATGGCAAGCTAATTCGACTTTCAAATCTGTGCGGTGCGTATCGCGTATATTTGTTTTTTTAAACAAACCGACGTTTCGGGCCCTTTACAGGTCCCATGGTCACGGTTGACCTGTTGATGGGACGGCTCCATCTGGGATCTGAGATGGCTCGATGGTTGATCTCATCGTAACGTTCATCAGGTGAGATGGAAGCCAAATGCGCACTTACTTTTTTATTTAAAAAGAAGCATTGTGTAGCGGGCTTGTGTCCGTAACTCGACGACTGTAAGTATGTAAGATCGTATGTACTTGAAGTACATATCTGTAGGTGAGAGATAAAATCGTACATATTTTGGAATTTAAATGTTTTTTTTTTATAACATTGCTTTAGAATGCTAAAAAGCACGCAGTGGTAAAAGACATTAAATTCATCGAGCTGGTTATATACCAGAGTAAATCCTATCGTCATAATTTTTTTATTTGATATATTATGTTGTTTGACTTTTAATTACGAGTCTCGTTCTCTGTAAAACGTTTTGTCGTAAAAATTACTACTTGGCTCTTAAGTTTATTTACCTTTCACCTACAGACATTTATATATATATATATATATATATATATATATATATAATTTTTGCTGC